CAACAATGGTTCGCTCGCTTTCGTTCTGGAAATTTCGATGTGAAAGATACGAAAAGACTTTTTCGACTTTCCTATATTATGTTAAAAATCCTATGTTCCAGCATCATGAGAGAGACTTTGAACAAGGAGTCCCCTAAATTGAGTCAAAGTTCTACCAAACTTGTACGTAGTTACTCAGCAAAGGTCACCTCCTTCTTGAGTTCTAATACGTCAAACAGGCATCCTATCTTATATTGGTGAAACATTGCTCCCCAAGTTCAATCTGCTTGCTACTATGAATATGGTAAGATAGGCATTAGCCACTGTGGATTAGATAATTTGATTTGAAAACAACCATGGTCTTCACTTATAGTCTCGATTAGCCCCCATTTGAATAGGCATCGCGACTTTAACCGGATGCTGAGAATTGATAGAGCAGAGTTATAAGCTATTAAATTGAATGGAGCAAATTATACTCAAGAATTGTTTACCACACTTTTACAGATATCCTTTTTTCTTCCTTTTATAACGGATTAGTTCGTCATTTCATCTGACCAGTATCAGGCTTAAAACAAAAATGCGTAAAGTTACAAGGTTTTTAGAAAAGAATTTCAAAAGAACGCCTAAGGATGAGAAAACAGCACTTTAGTTTTATTGCTAGCATGCTTGAGTTATTGTATGAAGTTAGCAAGAAAATATTACCATGTTTGACAGAAGTGTTACCACAATGATTTCGATAATACATTCCATTTTTGAGATTCACGATAGGCCAAAACGAGCTTCAATGATGTATATTTTCTGAAGAATTCCTCATTTTCTTCATTAGCTGCTATTTTTTTTAGTTATTAATATGGCTCAGCGATATGCGGAAAAATACGGTTTTGATAAGATGCCTAAATATACGCACGATAACGCCATCATACCCACAGAACACATTATTATGCCAAAGCCAGATCCACGGTACATTATCAAGGTAAGAGGGACTCCATTCCTTAAATATCTTTAGTGCCCTGACATCGCTGCTTCAACTAGAAGTTTCAGGATTTAAAAGATATTGATGAAGCTAAAGTGATCACTTACGATGCTGCGATCAGCCAACGTAAGCGAGGGAAATTCCTTACTACATTCATGACTGCTGGAGAATGCTATCCAAAGGTATGTGGTATACATTACATTAATTGCATTGACATGTTCTTTATAGTATTTCTTTTATATCTAACTTTCTCAATCATAAGATTTTAAATAAACAAGCCTTGCAAGAAAAATTTTTGTGAAAGAACTTTTTGGAACATGTACTGACTTGCAATGTAAACCGATCCTCTGACCTCAAGATGTAAAAATTCAATCTTTAGTAGTTTTAATATTTAAATATGTTTCAACATAAAAGTGATCTACTTGCAAATTTGATAGCATGGGTAGCCCTGAACGCTAATGACGAAGTGGTTGGCTTCTTGCCATTGATACATACTCAAATTTATCTCTTAGATATGTAGTATAATTTTGTAATGCTGCAAGCTTTATTGTTCAGTTCCATAAGTATAACTCACGCAATCGTTACATTACTCCAAATAAAACGACCTATTGACAATACTTGACACAGGGTCACTACGCGCTAGATATTTTATTTTGAATAACTCATACTTTTGGTTTAGTCACAATCCATATTACACTTACTCACTTACTTAGTACTCCTTATTGACATTATTTCCTTATAACTCTTTCGCTGTATACTTTTGAAACTTCCTTGGGAACTACTGATGAAAGGAGTACATACCCGGGGAGCACCAAGAAAGCCACATTTCCAATCTAGTTCTTAGCCCCGAAACCGGCTATGTGGAAAACACTTTCCAAAAATTGATCTTGACTCTTATTACATCTTTATACTTTTCTCTGTTCAGATTGTTTGCATTATAACCTGTTTATGTACTTCCTTTCAATGTAAGCTCAATCCTCAAACCTCAAGATGTTAAAATTCTGTCTTTAGTATTTTAATATTCGATAATGTTTCAACATATTAAAGTGAACTACTTGCAAATTTGATAGCCTAGGTAGCCCTAAACGCTAATGGCGAAGTGGTTGGACTCTCTTCCATTCGCGTCGTGCCGCTTTGTGACAACACCCTTTCCATAGGACCATTTTATACTGATAATGAGGTAAGACTGAAAAGATTTGATTTAAGAGTAATTTTACACTGTTTTTTTCCCCACTGATTCAAATCTGAATTTCAGTGTAAATTAACAAAATTTTAGGCTGTTGCTAGAACTTTGCTAGCTGGGACTCTTTCTTCCATACCAGACATTAGACGATTCAGCAAACTTGAATCGTTGATTCCAGCATTCAACCAGAAAGCTATAAGGTAGCTTTTCTGTAATGTGTTGTTGTGTTAATTTTACGAAGTTCTGTGCTATTTAGTTTCTTCAAAGAAGTTGGAGGAGGCAACACAAAGTTTGAGCCGTTCACCCAATGTGCTTTCACAAAGAAATTGCTGCCAACAGGGGACGAAAGGGTGTTTGGACTTCTTGA